ACTCAGGTTTTGTTGACATTTTGCCAGTACATGGATCCACGATTTGTTGTTTTGGGAGGGTCATTTTAGGCCCCTCTTCACTTGAAAATAGAGAAACTACTGTTTTTTTTTTCTCGAAAGGTCCAATTTTGTGGTTCATATTTATTGCCAGGTTTAGATGACATAGTGAGTTAGGACTTGTAATGTTTATTAGATAATGACTTAGCACTCTCTCGAAATAACAGCCTAAGGCAACAGAAGATAGACTGTTTATGCTTAAGTGGTGTACATGATTTTCATAATCCATATTGGTCTGCGGTCATTTTGTGAGCATGTATTGTGACTCCTTATGGCAGCTCTCCAAACTCTATCATTAGGATGCATAGTCATTATATCATTCTATGCCTTAAGAAGGTGCTCAAAAAATTGATACCATCTATACTGTTGAAAATTAGTCAACGAAACCATAGTGTTTTCTCTTACCATGTAGTCCCTGTCATGGTAAGTCGAAAATCTTGTTAAATATTGTAGTGTTGAAAATCATGCACTGAAACCGCAATCTGTTTCTCTTAATAGGCAATCTCTGTCATGGCTAAAAGTGGATTTGCTGAGCTAATTGATTTTAACCCTATCCGTGCAACTGATGTGCAACTTCCTGCTGGAGGAACATTTGTGATAGGGCACTCTCTGGCAGAGTCTCAAAAGGCAGTCACTGCAGCTACTAATTATAATAATAGAGTTGTTGAATGTCGACTGGCTGCTGTAAGTCATTTGGCTACATTTTTGTACTTTCTTCACCTTCCCACTCCTTACTCTCTTACTATTCCTCCTCACTGCATTGTATGTGTCTTGGTGATGTAGGAGAAAGAGAGCTTAGTTAGAGTGTTTGAAAAAAGAAAAAATTATAAGAATAAAAAATTGGAGGCATCAGATCTGAATTATTAAATCAATAGCTCTATTTGTATAGTAATCATAGAATTACTGTACCGAATAACTAATTTAGGATTTTCTCCTTATAGGCATCAGAATATAATCAAAATAGTAAAATTTAAGTCAATCTAGAAAATCCATTAAACAGAAAAATAGACTATAACAGACACTTGCATAAGTTCCTGGGCTTTCTGCTAACATTCTTTTATATTGTAATATCCTTTCGGGTAATTCAGATTGTACTGGGCATAAAGCTTGGGATGAAACCAAAAGAAGCAGTATCTAAAGTCAAGACTCTTTCCGACGTTGAGGGATTATGTGTATCATTTGCCGGCAGTCGTAATTCTTCAGATCCTGTCCTTGCTGTTAAGGTATCTGTCATTTCTTTTCTGCTTTTAGTAGAATGTGCACTGATTCTGCTTTTAATAAAACTTGTTGAACTAGAATTTTGTCTTCATCATCTTTGGTACAGGAATTTCTGAAGGAGGAGCCTTATATTGCTGAGGAGATTGAGAAAATAACTGAGGAAAAATTACCATCAGTCTTAGGCAATCATCCAACTTCTTTGGATGTGCTAAAAGCTGCTAAGCACTTCAAGTTACATCAGGTTCTTTCTTCTTCTCCCCATCCTTGCCTGCCACGCTTCCTTTGAACTCAGAGTGGTCAGAATTTTTTTTTATAACTTATGATGTTGATTTTTGAGTTTTAAGAACTCTGCATTTTTATATATTCGTTTCTTGAGGCTTATGTAGTTGTGCCTGGAATTAAGTACCCATTTGCTTATGTTCACCCTGATAAAAATGTGCATAAATAGTTTAAGGCATTTCCCTTAGCTATTTCCCACAGCATACTATCTGCAAATGAAGTAGCGATTTCATTAGAAGCCAGTACATCGGTCCTGAAACTTGTACTGTTGATCTTAAACTAGGCACAAGTTATGGATGAATATTAAAGGTTCTGATTTTTTAACAGGAAATGGTGAATCATTATATGCCTTAATTGTGGTATAGTTGTGTATTCTAACAATTCAGCAATTGTGGTTGACATAATACTTCAAAAAATATTGTTTAGTTGCATATTCTTACAATTCAATAATAGTTGACATAATACTTAAAAACATATTTTATTTTCTTGATTGTTATATTTTGTAAATTTCTCATTTACTGTCTACTTGCATTTTTCAGAGGGCGGCTCATGTGTATTCTGAAGCTCGACGGGTACATGCTTTCAAAGATACTGTATCGTCGAAATTAAAGTGAGTTTACATGCTTGTGATTGTTATCATGTCGAAAATGCATTTCATATTTTAATAGATAAAAACATGGTGTAGCGTAGCTTTGTATTTTGTTTCAGTTTTTAGAAAATTTGTGCTAGGTGCTTATTGGTTAAAATTGGTTAAAAATGAAGTAAGTTTTAGAAAATTTGTGCTAGGTGCTTATTGGTTAAAAATGAAGTAATTTC